GCTCCCAACATCGACACCCACCGGTCACCAGAATAGTTAGTGGCATCTGACGGGCTTTTTCGCTTCAAGTGCGCTTCAAATGTGGTTGGGCCAATGCCTCGTGGAATAGCAGGCAGAGGCCTGCGAGACATGGCTATCATGCACATGCAGAAAATCACTTCAGCCTTGTGCCGTTTTGGAGAAAAGCTTGAGGAGCCGCTGCGCCGAATCACGCATCGGGAGCAGCTCAGGGATATTCAATCACAAAACGACAAACTTCCGAAAACGTCAGGATCCTGCTTTCCGGGGATTCCGGAATCTGTTGGGCCCAAATTGGGAGTGCAAGGGAGGTTGAAAAGCATCGCTTCCCTGATAGACCTGCAACTGAATATGGATCTAGAACATGCTGGTTCTCGGAGAAAACACGAGAAAACCTCATGTCGCACTGGTAGCCTGAATTTCCTTCAAATGTCTTGAAATGTTGCTTTGCCGATGCCTCGTGGAACAGCAGACACAGGCCTGCGAGACACGGCGAACATGCATGTGCAAAGCATATGCCTCACTCCGTCTTGGAGCCAAGCTTCAAACGAAACTGCCCGATCTGCCCGGGCTCGCGCTTTGGAGGCGGCTCAGGAATATTGATTGCCAAAACAATGACAGCCGCATTGTCTGCTTTGGAAACCCTTCCTGCAGATTCCAACACTGCCTGCGCGGCAGCTTCTGAAGAGCGACTTTCCCGCAGCACCTTCCGAGCTGTAGTCAGGACGGTCTGTTCTTGAAGGGCATCCCAAATGCCATCCGTGGCGAGGACCACGAACTCAGTACTATCTTTCACGGCCACGACTGTGACCTCCGGCCTGCAAATCAGGCCGTTGATCTTGTCACCAGTCCTGCTTTCAATGTCCCCAAGTGCTCGGGACACCTGTACCTTGCCATCGACATAGCCTCCTTCGATGGAGACGCCAAGCTGCTGCAGGCGGTACTTCTCTCCCGAGTTTTTTTCCGGGGAATGGTCCAACGTCTTGGTTGAGACCTTGGCGCCGTCGCAGATCACCGCTCGGCAGTCGCCTAGGTTCACAAACACAAGCTCCTTCTCTTGGAGAAGAGCTACACATGCTACCGTCCCGGAGGACGTGCCCGACGGTGACAAACTGGCCTCGTCAGCCAGTTGCGGTTTCATGCAAGACTCTACTGCTTGGAAGGCATCGTCAATGGCTTTCTTCTTGTCGCTCGCAAGCCGAAGATGGTGATCCAGCTTCTGTGGGAGCAGTTCCTTTGCGAGCTTGGCAGCCTTGTCGCCACCGTGGCCGTCAAAGACGGCTGCGCAGGTGTGTCCCCCTACATCCTGGTGGATCACCACTGCATCTTCCATTTTGGCTCTGTCATTTCTGGCTAGAGCGAACCCGCAGTTGGCACTGCCTCCGCTGCCATACTCTGGGAAACCTTCCGGCCCTTTGGCCCTGACGCCACAACAGTCGCAGAAGTTTCCCATGGCTCTGCGTCCGGGAATCGTATGGATGCTGTTCGATAAATCCCTATTCAATCTATTCAATGCGAAGTGCCGGGAGGGTGTGCCACTAAAGCCAAGTGTCCAATTCGGGTATTCAATTGAAAGGCTCGTGTTTAGATGATGCCTCCCCCTTTGAAGTGGATGCCCTCCTGAATTGAACAACAGTGCCGAGGGTCATGGTCAAGCTGACGAGCCAGACGGAAAAAGGAGGGAGAGATGGGGAAGAGAGAGAGACAGGGCAAGACTACAATACACAGAGACATGGAGAGAGGGAGCCGTGAAGTGAGAGCCGTGAGCCGTGAATACCAGCATTTCTGCAGGTGGTCCAGGAAGCGCTGCCGACAGGCGCAGCCGACACGCGCCACGGTGGCCGCGGCTTCCCCTGTGGTGTGGTCGCTGTGACCGCGGCTGGGATGCCCAATGCCAATTCATGCCAATTCATTTGTAAATTCCCGTACTTGATGCTGTCCGACTTGATGAATCGCACTCCCACCATGATACCCGTACTCCTGCCACAATCCCGTGCTCGTTCTTGCCTTCAAATCGCTCGAAGCTGGCATGGCGAGAGACAGGCCCAGCTCGTTTATGTCATGCCAACTCAAACTGGTTGCACATTGACAATCCTCCCCAACTCCGTGCAAAGCATAAGAAGCAAAATGCAAAGCTCTTCGAGAAGTCCTAAGCTCTGGCTCACATTCAACCCGGGCAAAGGTGCGTGACACAGCGAAAGCGCTTCAACGAACCCCAAACTGAAAGAACACGCAACCGGGGCTCGCACCAGAGGAAGGATGACTCCATATTGCGCCTTGGCAGCGTTCGGCCAGGCTCGAGAAACGAGCAGCATCGTGTGAGGATGCAATGCTCTGCCGGCTTCGGGTCATGTGCCACTTTTGCCCGCGCTACTTCATAGGTGTCTGTGGTGACAAAGGAAGACTGCAACGGCAAAACTCGAACAACAGATGTGTTTCAGCATGAATGCACTGCGGTTGCCGGAGCTGCGATGCTTAAGCTATCCTGCCCGTCTCAACACTTTCCTAGAACCCTAGAGATCCGCTGAGAGCATTGGCCCACGCTTCAACCACTCAAAAACTGAAACGGTCTCCCTACGTTTCCAGACTGGCAACTATCTCTCTGTGCGGGGCTTGCAACGTCTCTGGCACTGGCTGAGCCATGTCGCATACGGTCTGCATGGGGCGCTTGGTTTGATAAACTAATTGGGAGAAAGCTCAAGCCAGTATGTGAAACTTGCAAAACACTGTCTGCTCACACGCGTGGGCATTGGCTGCAACCTGATGCAGCAGGCGAAGCGAGTCCGTCCTGGCATCTGACATCCCTGGCCTACGCCGCAGAGTTCATCGAACGGGTCATACCCGACAGTCTCTCGCCGAATAAGCATTAAGTTTGGCCCCTTCGATGCCTCGAATCTCAGCAGTGCCGGCTCAAACCTTGGTGTGATACTGTTTCAAGCCATCCGAAAAGACTGACGACACAGTCACTCCAATCTAGGACATGCTCTGCACCTTCCAGGCAAGCTGCGTAGTACTTGGCATTTCGCTTGTCACTGGTCTTCTTCATGGTCATGTACCAGTCCAAATGTTTCATCTTCCGCCTGGAGATAATGTCAAATCTCTGCATCGTGCAATTTATCCAAGCACGGCAGGGCTACTGGGTCTCAGAGAGCGGGTGATGAGCCAAAGCACCACGCAACAAGACAGACTAAACGTGCAATCCCTGGAACAAAGCTGTTTGGTTTCATTCGACTGCCCAGAACCGACACTGCAGGGAACCTATGGAGCAGCGAACTATACAGCTGAGCCACTGCTTCTTGACAAAGTCCTCGCGGATGCGATGCAAAGCCATGATGACCGCATGCCTTGGCTCAGGATGAGGGCGTCAACTCGACATGCTGCATGATCGCCAAGGCACCAGTACTTTCCGTTCACCTCTTCTTCGAAAGTGATTTCGTCCCACCTGGTAGGAGCTCGAGACCCAGTAGAAAACATGCAAGCGGTTGTTGTGTATTGTCTATACCCACCTACCTACCGATAGTTCGATCCACCTATCTATCTATCTATCTGTCTTCTTGTCTCTCTGTCTGTCCATCTGTCCATCTCTCTATCAATCTACCTAGCTGTCTATCCATCTATCGATATGTCTTCTTGTCTCTCTGTCTGTCTATCTGTCCATCTGTCTATCAGTCTAACTATCTGTCTATCTATCTATCCATCCTCTATCCATCTATCTATCTACCTATGTATCTATCTATGTGCGCATGTATGTGCGTACGTATATATGTACGTATGCATGTATGTCACACATGCAGTTGCATATTATGTAAAACAAACCTTTGGACAAAAGCATCCCTCCCATGCGATGGTGCTCGTGCACTCTCCAGGTCCCAAGTCCCCATCCTCACTGTAAGGCTGAGCCACTGCAGATCACCGTCCTCACGCTCATGGCAGTTGTCGAGGGTGATGGGTGGCAACTGGATCACCTGAGTTGGAGCACTGAGCCAACAAGCGCGGGCTCGCAGAGTCTGCTTACTTTCTTCCTCTGTCAAAGCGGTATGCATTGGGCAGTCAATGTTGGATCATTTGCTGGCACGCACAATGGTTGCGCAGAGAGGCAAGCGCCTTAAGCCAGCACGCAGGGAAGAACGGAAAAACTACATCTCTCGTCAGCATTAGCACTGCCATCATGGCAACCATCAAGACTGCTAATCAGTCTGCAGGCATGCTCTTACCCCTTGCAGATGATTGTACCGAGAAGACGGAGCCGACATCAGCTACCACTTATCGGTGGTACTATTGATGGGTAATAGCAATAATCGAAGTAGTCGTGGTAGTCGTCGTCGTAGCAATAACAGTGGCCGCAGCATGCAGCAGCAGTAGCCGTAGCGGCAGCAGTAGCTGGAGGAGCAGTAGTGTGTAGTGGAGGTGGTAGTAGTAGTAGTAGTGGTAGTAGTAGTAGTAGTAGTAGTAGTAGTAGTAACAGTAGTAGCACCAGGCGTAGCAGCACCTGCAGTACTATGAGTAGGCGTAGGAGGAGGAGGAAGGAGGAGGAGGAGGAGTGGGAGTGGGAGTCGGACTAGGAGTAGTAGGAGTAGGAGGAGTAGAAGCATTAGCACTCGCAGTAGCAGCGGCACGAGCACTGGCACCGGCAGTAGCGCTGGCAGCGTTGGCGGCAGTGGTGGCAGCAGCAGCATCAGTAGCAGCATCGGTACTTGTTCCAGGTACCATGATGTACGAAGACATTGCACTTTTTCAGTGCGCCTCCTTCAGCTTCTCCTCGGTGATGTCTACACCCTTTTTCCAGTCCTCGCGGTCTTCCATGGGTTCCAGGCAACTCGAGCGTGTGCACACTCTCTAAGCATCCTCCCTGTCCTCCACATCCTCCTCTGTGAGTTCGATCTCGCACCAGGGGTCTTCGGCTTTTCCCACAGTCACCTTCACCATGCCCTCAGCAGAGCTTCTGTGCTCTCGTTCGACTCGTGCCAATATCACCGGAGTCAGACTGAACTCTCCTGATCGTGTCAAGTCACGGGCGACGTGGCTTTCTCCGGGCGAGCGAGGTACTCTGAGCCCAGGGGCTGGATAATCCGACACACATCCAGACGCCCTCTACACGATTGCTGCACAGGGGCGAAACATCGCGGGACCAGGTGATCTAGCACAAAGCACACATTTGTATCGTGCTGCCGACCGCACGACACCCCTTTCTCTGCATCTACTATCACAAAGCTGGAAGCGTTGGGTCCTGCAGTTGAACTGATAGCTGCGTGGAGGACAAAGCCATAACTGGGCCATAACCGAAGTGGGGATATTGAACTGAACACACTGGAAGATGCTCCCACACTTTGGTGGAATCTAAGCCCTTTCAGCAGTCTCTGGACCTCGATAGCTTGATAAGGCACCTCGGATCTGAACCAGAGGTCACGTCCAAGCGCAGACGACGTTTTGCGGCAGGCGTGCGATGTTCTAGGCCAGCGCGGCCCAGGGCGTGTTGTCTAAACCTCAGTAGCATACCCGAGATTCAGAAGCCTTCCCCCATCCTCAGGACAGGTGACTCACATGCTGCCAAGAGGCATAATACTTGGCATTCCTCCTGTCACTTGTCTTCTTCATTGTCATGTACCAGTCCAGGTGCTTCATCTTACGCCTGCACCAAGACTTCTCTAACCCCCCACGCATTGATTATATGTAGCATTTATCCACACAGTAGATGTCTGAACTCCGAACTAGACCATTGCAGGCCAAGGTGCTGCTTCTTTACGAAGTCTTCTCGAATACGATGCAAAGACATGATGACGGCGTGCCTGAATTGAACGGGCTTATCGCATGCAAGAAGACCAGGTCAGAGTGGCGATGCGTGCGTCAAGCTCCCAACATCGACACCCACCGGTCACCAGAATAGTTAGTGGCATCTAACGGGCTTTTTCGGTTCAAGTGCGCTTCAAATGTGGTTGG